TGTGCTTTTGAAGCCCTATGTTCCAAATGGAACCTAAAGGAATAATAGTAATATAATAACTTAATTAGTTAATGCTGTAACATCTCATTATTTGTCTATGAATAATGTTAATTTGACTAGGAGCTATTTTCAATAGATTCACTTTTCATTATATATAATTTGATATCGGTGTACATCCAAGCAACTTTCCTGGTAAATTTTCTGTAAAATATACAGAGACATATGTGGATATTTCATATTCATTTATCACCCTTACATTTACTAACTTCAAGCCATATAAGCCTATGTCTTAATCGAAATTATCTATATGTATTCCAATAATCATAGTCCTTATTTCCAGTAATAACCACTGCCACTTATTTGGTATCGTAATGAGTTTCAACATAATTTCGTATTCTGCATTTTAAAACCGTCTACAAGTCAAAAGTCACATGTCATCTCATTCCAATAAAATAAATTTAAGTAAACAAAAATTATGAACATATAATAATGAATGGTTATCCTCACACAGTAGGTGGCTCAAATGCTTAACAGTTTAAGGTTCGAAAAAATTGGATTCTGAGTCTTTGTATCCCTGATAAGACCATTGTGATGCAATGAAATCTAGCTGGTCAGTCCTATGACAAGATGAAATGCATATCCTGCTTTCCACTGTAGAGATACGCTGAAACGAAACGAAACAAAACTACTTCCTGAAGGGATTAACGACATGCTATTTAAAGCCTTACTACAATTTCAGGACAATTAATGCCTTTCTAATAAAATGAAAGAAAAAAATGTATCATGTGTACTTTAAAGGGAAAGTAGAAATACCTCCCGTGAATAAAAGTACTTTTCCAATGCATAGATAAACATTTGTGGTTGCAGAATTATTTATTAATTGATTGGTTGTGTACATGAATATTCTTCCGAATATATATGTATAAGCGATCGGATGACATTAACAGTAGAAACCATCGAGGTAAAAGAGAAAGCAATACAGAGAGAAAGAATGAGAGAGGATACATAGTAAATATTCCTTCTTTAGTAACAGCTGATGCGAATATCTAAAGAATGAAAAACATTTTTTTAAAATTTTTTGGTGAAACGATTTAAAATAACAATTTATTCACGTGTTTAATCCTTTCAAAATGAGATGAATGCGAGTTATTTGCTAGTAACTGATGGAATGATTTCACGGAAATAGCTGATGATCACATTGCGAGTTTTCTCTCGATATGTACATATAAAACAATCAGGCCCTCGAGTGGAATCCCAATAGGAAACGACAAGTGCGTCGTCCTACAGTGACTTGGAGGAGATCGTTTGGGAAGGAGGAGATGAGAGAATATGGGAAATTTCGGACTTATCCAAAGAGGACAGAAGAAAATAGAAGAAAGTGCAGATGTGTTGTTGAAGCCCTATGTTCCACCTGGAACCCAAGGGATCAATAATAAATAATAATAGTAATGTAAAACAGTCAAACATGTTAGCTAATGTTATTACGATCAATCACAGTTGAAAGTTACTGGACTTTCGATATTCAAATACATCTTTATTGTATCATCAGAGTGGGGGATTCCTACACTGGGATGACAAATTCTCCAAATATTCAAGTTGTTTATTATTTAAGTAATCCAGTGTATTCATAATCAAAATAATTTAACCATTATACTGAGGCCTGCTATTATGATACTGTGTCTTTGAACTGTTGAGACGCAAATGGTTTTCTAAATAAATCACGAAATTCAAACCACTTTGAAACAAGTAACAAGGAGAATAATAATGAATTCATGAAATTCAATAGGATTCTTGATCACTTTGCCCTACATACTTGATTATATACCATTATTTAGTGAAGAAATATTTAAATACATAATATATAATTTTCCTGTTAAAGTGTATTAATAAAGTGACAGCAAAAGCAAAAAGAATGTGGAATTAATTGCACTATTGACACAACATCATATCAAGCGAAACAAATCAGTCAGGGGCTAATATTTTGAATTAGGCTTTCTTTTAAGAAAAAGTACGCAACTACACGTAAACTACTCATATGTTTTACAATGATCATTAGCAATAACTTAGTGTAACTTAGGGTATAGTGCTGCAATTTAACATTTTGAAGCTTACATAAAAAAGTATCCGAGAAATTCGTATTATTCTCGTCTATGAAAATAGTAAATATATGAGAAAAACGAATGCGTCAACATTGTACAAGGAAGAAATCCTTCAAAAACAGGCAAATTATAAGTCTGTAGTGATTCATCCACTCAGTAATAATGATAACTTAAAACCCAAGGATATGAGATAAATTTCACTAAAGATCTCATTTTTAAGTAGATACTATAACTTAAAATAGCTCCAAGTCTGACCATGGATTGATATCAGTTAGAGAATCATTGAAAACTAGGGAGTACTGGAGAACTGTTTTTTTCCTAGTGTTTGGGACTCATCATCACCCACTGAGGTTCGAAGCCAGGACCTTCCGATTACAATACAAGCTCGTAGAACATTCAGCCAGTAGAACCGAACTCAGTGGCCCATGAATTCTAACTTGTACCAATTCGACATTTTAGCGTGACGACCAACCAATGCCATCAGTGAGTATTTGTCCTCACTTCCAACCGGATGGACCCCATTGGTCAAGACTTCTGAATTAAACTCCAGGCAACTTCGTCCTGTAGTCAGTCACTAGTGAGCAATGGATTAATTTTCAAGAGTTAGTTTGTAGTTCTACGAGTTTGCACTGTAACCGAAAGGTCCTGGTCTCGAACCCTAGTGGTGAGTGTCAAACCAGGTGAAACAACTGTTCAGTACTTCCTGGTTTTCAATATTTCTCTAAATGATACAAATCCATGGTCAAACTTGAAACAAATCAAATCCTTAAAAAATAACTCTTGAAAGTTGAAGTACCTCACTTTTAAGCTCATATCAGGACCAAATTTCTAAAAATAGCTTAAAATGTGTAAGGAAATCAAATTTCTGTTACTCCAAACAGAAACCGAAACTGTAGATACTTTATAAAAATAAATGAATAATACTGTTTGAGATTTTATAGGTTAGGTGTGTAAACTAAATGCATCCTAGTACATATTTGGAAGTCAACAGTCCGCTCCGTCCTCCTTTATGGCTGTGAGACCTGGCCATTGAGAGCAGAAGACATGAAAAGATTAGCTGTCTTCGATCATAGGTGTCTGCGTTCTATCTCCCGCGTGAAGTGGTATAATAAGGTGAGCAATATTGAGGTTAGGCGTCGAGTGCTAGGTAAGGCGGGGAAATCAATCGACGAAACGGTGAAATTACTTCGACTGAGATGGTTAGGACATGTGCTACGTATGCCTAGTCATCGCCTTCCTCGACAATGGGCAATGTTAGCTGATATAGGGCCAGGCTGGAAAAGAGCTAGCGGCGGTCAAACGAAAACATGGCACCAGTCAATGAAATCTACAACAGTTAATCTAAGCCACGTAGGAAGGTGTAGACTTCCTGGTTGGGGTCCTCGGGACGGTAAACACCAATGGTTGGAAACAATTGGTGACATGGCTCAAAATCGTTCTCAGTGGCGCAGATGCATCCACTCCTTGTGACTTATGATTTCCAATTAAACTTTTGTTCTCCGCTATTACTATTCCTTTGTCTCACACCTCTGTTTACTGTTTCCATTATGCATTTCTTCTTCTTCCTTCTCTTGCTTTGCGTGCTACATAGATTGTGGCGACTTGAACTGCCGCACATATGTGCAAAGTTCTATGTCGAAAACCGACCGACCGACCGACATATTTGGAAGTTATCACTACTCTAAGAATTGAATGTTGTATGAAGAATAAATTGTTTCTAAAAGCCTTTAAAAGACGCCTAAAACTGAGGATACAGAAAAACCATGATCCTTTACCGTTTATCATGGGTTACAAGTTTTTAATTGATACATCCACTAAGTTCCTAACCGAATAAGTCAACCAGAATGATATGAAATTCCGAGAAAAAGTGTTTTCAAAATTGTTTATTGATGTTATCAAAATCAGATTAGCTTTTTCTAGCTAATATTGACGTAACTGCTTGGTGGTCGAAGTGTAAATGTTAACAAAATTCAGGATAGAATTCGAGCAAGTAGATTCCAGGTTGTTAGTGTGACATTCTGGGAATTTCTTTGATAGAACTACCTACTAATCGGGTCCTATCAGATATTCATTATGCCCTGAAAAAAACATATAAGCTCAAAAAGCAGCAATTTTCCAGTTCTTTTATATTGATTAACTATTCTGTCTAATCGCATGAGTTTTTATTCTTGAGAATCACCTTCATTTCTAATATGTTGTAACCCGAGAATACACAAGCAAAAATTATTTCCGAGTGGTATTGTCAACTCCTGACTGGAATTTATACAGCCTACGTTATTTAACACCGCATAGTAATCAATTCCTTCATCATGTATTGCATAATTATCTAAAAGTATACAGCTATTTGATCTAATGAAGCTGACCTAAACAGCACATTCTTTTAAAGATTATATCATCATCTGATGATATCTCTAACACACCTACCATCACATAAGAAATGCTACTGATTATAAGAGACATATCTAGCTGTAACATTTACAATTCGACATGTGCGGCGTTTATTTATGGACAGGTCTACCAATCAAAATTAAAAAGATTACACTACTGCTTCAGTTTTATTCACTTTCCATTGTAACATTCTAAACACACACACACACGCATATAATGATTTAGTTAGATAGACATTTGGTGCAGACACCTTGATTCTGCACCGCACAATTGTCTGTCTGTTAAACTTCATGTACTGACTACCCACAAAATGATCAGTTGTACACTAGTGACCAAAAATGTATTGCATACTTTATGCACGCACACCCATCGATTCGATAGAAATTTAAGAAAGAATCCCACATTGTGCATTATTCAACCTCTTCATCCCTCTATCCTACACTACTATTTTCCCTCTTTTCTACTCTAATCTATAGACATACGACAGGCAATCAGACACTGAACAATATATATAAATTTAGAATTATCAGATAGAGTTAAAGTTTGATTTAATTGGAAAATTGTAAGCGGACACGTTGGAATTCAGTTATTGTTGTTTTGTTTTTCTACCGTCTTTGTGCAAGCTATTAAGTTAAATATTTTGTGAATAGAATTCGAAAGTGTTTATTGAGCCGTAGCAATCTGCAAAAAAGCATTCAATCCTATTTAGATATAATCTAAAGAGACTTGTTCAATAATGCCGTCAGAAATTTGTCCTAAATGCCAAAAGGCTGTTTACGCTGCAGAGAAAAAAATTGCTGGTGGTAAAGCATGGCACAGTATGTGCTTGAAATGCGGTAAGTAGATCATTCAGTGGTGTATGTTTTTAACTTCTTATCTTCTCATTCGTGTTGTATAAATATTTTTATAGAGCTTACTTATGTGATTTCATTTCTAACGCGTAAAATAACCCTTTTTAATAAATTCGCATTTTAGGTGTAATAGAACGATGTCTGTGCTACAGGAAACAAAATTTAGACTATTAGCTCAAGCATGTTTCTGAACTATCAATATGAAGTTAGGTTAACACCAGACCACAATCACAGTTGGTGAGGTAGATCAAACAACGCAAGTACTTGTTTCTTTAAGTTGCCTTGTATTTCCGGTTGACTGGCTTTCATTCGACCTAAATACCCAGTATGGACGCTTCGATGATATATGAAGGATAAATTTGTGTTAATGGTGAATTACAGAGGAATCCAGGATGCGCACTTCGTCCTATTTGGCACTCGTCATCTGTGTACACCTGTATTACCATTGATTAGTGGTGTTCCCATAAAGACTCGAAGTCTTTTAGATAACCCTTTGGCGTTTGAATCGACTGGTTCTAGGTACCAGTCCCAATGTGAACATCATCAGTCAACGGGTATTCCAGGTGCATCCAGCTGCAGTTACAAATGGAACAAAAAGCGTATCTTGATATCGCTGCTAGTCACTATTAACCTAATAACAGCTGAAGTAATATTAGATAGAACATTGACAGATATCCATATAAGCCGTCATACTGAAGAAATGCTGCTGCTGACACCCCTTCGATATTCATAAAGACTCTCACTAATCGGATAAAAACATGTACAGTCATAGTTCGAAATAGTGACTAAGAGCCTGAAAATCCCAAACTTAGGCATCTATGAAAAAAATTTATCCCACTGAAACCAAGTTAGTCTTAACAAGTCAAACTGATTTCACATTTACTGAGCGAAGAAACGACCAGATTTCACAATGTTCCTCATCAGCTCAATATTAGACCACCTGGTCCAAACTGGCCACAGAGTTATCATTGAAGAATCCTTCTCCATCACCTATCGGGTTCCTAATAAATTGTTAAAAGTATTCAGGTACCGAATATTCCAAATAACAGAGGCTATTGCTATCTGCCTAAAACAGCCGGTGCTTTATGTGCAGAAGAAACAGGTTCAACCACTGCTACCTCCCTGGCCTTCTGTCGAGTCTATAAATTCACGAATTCTGTATAATTATTAACCTAATTTGTCTGACATTCAGTGTAGTGTTATGTTGATGCATATCATAGCGCTTACAGATGTTATTGAACTGTAATCTATTGATATTATTATTGATTCGATGTTATTTAAACATTAATGTTGTTAAAAACCCTAATTCTTTCATTGTTATGGATGGATATATAACTGTAGAACCTAATGAAGAAGGGGTTATCGAAAAGAATGTTCTTTGTTCGTATAAGTTTTGAATTCTATTGGCATTTTATCATCCTAAGTTCATCACAGTTACTTCATCAACTAAAAAGATAAAAATTAAAAATTATAAAAAAAAAAAATAAAAATTTTAAAAAGAAAAAAAATTACACTTATATTGTAAAAAAATTGAATAAAGGACACGGGTAGCAACAAGATGTTGAAGGGGGTAACAGTATAGTGATAACACAAGTTATTAAACAGTGTTGCTAAGTAAAACATGCAAAATGTAGTGAGTTAAGCTCATTTAGTTGGATTCACTGTTTGAACACTGGGTTTAATAAATTTTGATGTGACTATTTAAGAGGTTGTGGAAACTAATAATTTTACATTCAAAAAGTTGTTTTGATCAGTAAAAAGTGAAGTTCAAAGTAAGCGGTTTAGAGAGGAATTTGCTTCATCTTGTTCCGAACACATCAGTTGCGCTTTAGCAAAGTTAATTATAATAATTAATAATAATGACCACCTTTAAGATCACCTAAAGACCTGTTTATCTGGAAGAATCCAAGATGTCCATTTTATTTCCTGTGTCACTTAGAAGTCATGTTCAAAGTAATACTTCCTCTTAATGGTAGGCTTTTTGGTGTATGTTCAACAACTCAAAGATAGGTCATCTGTTCTTCAAATGTAATTATTATGGTAGCCATGCTTAATTTTATTTATGACTCTGGTGATAACTTGAGAAGTGTACCTGTTGACTTTTAACTGACCCAATAAACACACTATCCGCTAAGCAAGAATTACTTTGACCGCAGAAATATAGTATTTATTTGTAGGTTTTTCCTTCAATGTCATCCCTATTTAAACGTTAACTAGATGAATACATGCATTTAGTTATTGTAGTCTTTTCCAAGCCTTTACTTTTCATTTGTACCAATCTGTTGGTGAATATTTGTAGAGATATGTTGTCCCCTTAGATTTGTTCACAATGACTTACAACTCCTCTTGCATTTTCTCACTAGTTCATTGTAGTTAATACGATAAAGGGCATTCCATTTTCAATGGAACTCACTACAAACAATATTTCGATGAATGAATCTATGAAATGTTCTCTCAATCCTGCTCTATATTTTCTATTAACTTCATATTACATGGTAGAGTCATTTAGAGTTTTATAACAAGAAGGGAGAATTTAGAGACAAACCGAGATACTTTACATTTACACTGGTAGCTATCTAACCTCAGAAGAATTTTAAATTTCATTAGAAGTACGTATATATTTTTGAAAAGATTCAGGTAAACACTAGGGCAGGTCGTTCCCCTGTTGAAACTAAAATGTGAACCAATGAAATGATAGCATACCTCTTTGAGAAGTTTAATGTGTGTTGTGGCATTTCACTTAAGCCCACACACACTGAAAGTACGACCAAGTAAGAAAAAGAAGCTAATACAAATTTAGTTATGCATGTTTGCTGTAATGACAACAAAAAAAATTTAGGATGAACTGGCTGTTTTATGAAATGGGTTTCATTTTTTGAGTTTAGTCAAATGTAAGCTTCACTTTTTTGTATACCTCAACTTCTGCATTGCTGAACTAATTTAATCAATTTTCTAAAGCAATTCCAAAGTATTTCTCATCTGGCTTACTAAATGCATTAATGGGTGCCCACTATTTGAAGGAGCCAATCCCTTGATGTATTTCATGAAATCAGATACCTGATAAACCAGTATTATCCTGGCGATCAGTAGTCGCAGCAATAACAAATCTATGCACTGATGCTTTTTCTCACCATGGTTGCATGGGCCTTTTTATTCACCTAACATCGATATGAAGAACATATTACCATAGAAATTTTAAAATTCTATAAAATAAATGATGTAGCTGTTTGCTTAGAAAGTCATTGCTGTTTAGAGGAAAATTGAAATTTTCTTTCACACAGTCTCATTCATGGACAGTTTAATTTGTAACTGTCAATTAGTTACTTTTCCTCTCTGCCACCATTTGAATGTTTAGCTGGGAATAAGTACGTTTTAGTTGAAGAATACACTTTTGCTTTATATAAAGTAGTGCAACGACAGAAAACAACGGCCAAGCAACAGATCGTTTATTGAGAAAATCAACAGATATTTATAGATTTTTATGTACATTATTATTCGTTATTGTTAGCAGAGAAGCAACCTCTTCTGATTGGTTGTTTTCCTGCTGAAGGTTATTCTGTCATCTCTGTGTTGCCGTTTCTTAGACAGCCCGGTGATATATCTGCGAATCGTATCCGCCCACGCTAAGTCTGCTGTGATTGGTTGTTGAGTTCCTCAAGGTTAGGCTTTGTTTTTGTTTTTCTTATGACCAAGATTTGGGACGTAAACATTGACGTAAATTGCTGTCAACCGATTTCGGCTAGCAGACAGCTCTCACCACAGTAGTTAGTCATTACAAACAGTGCGATACTTTTCATATAATCAAGATGGATTATAAATAGATTTTTAGGGGAAATAACTGTTAATGCTGTATTACTAGTACACAATTAAACAAATTTATGGAATCTACTTTTAAAAACAGAATTTGTTTATTATTACCTGAAGATTCTTGAAAACGTGAAACTTATGATCTCTCCTAAAAGGATTTTATAAACTTCGGCAAAGTTCGAGCAGAAGATGAATTTTCGCTGTATTTATTTAGTGCCGTGCTGTGCTTTGACTTTCAATTTGAAGCTATCGCAGAAGATATTGTCTAGAGGGACAGTGAAAGCTGCCTAATTAAGTCATCCAGTCGACGGAGTATTGTTTTGTATTTTATTAATTAATTTCTGCTACTCTTAATTATTACTAAGATGCCTTTACATTATGTTTTAAAAACATTCATAGGTTTGTGCAATAAGATGCTTGACAGTACTACTGTCGCTGAACATGAAGGAGAAGTTTTCTGCAAACAATGCCATGGTCGTAAATTTGGTCCAAAAGGCTATGGATTCGGTGGAGGTTCTGGTGCCTTGAATATGGACAGTGGAAGTCATGTTGGTAATAAGGAAACCGAAATGAGGTAGGTTTTTTATTTAACACTGTAGCTTTCATATTTTAGCTGGTCTTAAGAAAGTATTTATTACTGTATTTCTGAAAATAACACTGACTACACTCTAAAGTGTAGCCCTGTGGAAACAACACCTACGAGTGACTAGAAGTCTTAACCACTGTTATACTGTGAAATGACATACCAAGTTGCATAATTATTGATCACATTTATTTCAAGTCAAATTGAGTGTACACTCGTCTTTTAATCAAGCATAGTTAGCTAACTGTGACAGGTAACAGTTTAATACAAAAGCTTCCTCATAAGAGAAGCGAAAATAATCCATTTATACTCTTTATAGCGTAAAAGTTGTATTTACCGAATCATGGAGAAAGGCAGTTAACTTGAAATGTGAATGACATAACTTTTCTTATGGTTCTTCAGATCTAGTAGTATTAAGCTTTTATTTCGTCCATATAATATTCGATTGCCCTAGGATATATGAACCTTGCTCAGTTTACTAGACGGTCGTAAGCCCAGTAGAAGAGGGAAGGTTGGGCGTGAGGCTAGCGACACTACCCCGGAAAATCAATCCGATTTCTACATAAGCTTTAAATCACAGAAAAATCAGCTGTGGTGAATGTGTAGATAATTAAGTGGCAAATAAAAGGGAGGAAGCATTTACGTTCACTACATCCATATTATACTATAATCATGAAATAACTTGTCATACAAAATGCTTGTTAGCTGATATTAATTATAAATGAGAAGGAGAAATTGTGTTCTTCTACTTGAAGTTTTTCGTATGAACTGATCTGAATCCCACAAGTTCTCAGATAACTACTTGATTTATAAAGACTAAGTAGTAGTGGCAGCAGAGTTTTTTATAACACCAATACAACGCCTTTACTTGTCCGTCACATTTAATAAGAAATGTGGAAATAAATATCTTGATACCGAAGATGAGGTGGTCAGAAATGATTAGCAACAGAAAACTCTGAGAACGAACCTACTAACAACCTATTGGCCAACAAATATGCTGAAGAAAACGGGGATGGACGGAAATCACGCTGAGGAGACCTTTGGTTGACGTCGCGCGCCAGACCAGCCCTAGATTGGTAACCGGCAAGTTGAGTTTCTGAGAAGAACGTAGAGGGGATTGTGTGAGAAGGGGGTGAACGCTTGCAGACAATTGTAGAGCTAACCAAGGAGGACTGCAGTAAATAGGATGAAATGGAGATGTCCTGTTAAAGTCTTATGTTCCACTCGGAACTCAAGGGAATAATAATAATCATATCTCAGACGGCCGTTAATCTCTATCAAAAGTGGAACGAAGATTTCAGCGAAGAGAATTCCCCCCCCCCAATGATATCATTCGCATACGCGAATCATACACAGATTACACCAGGCAATAATAAGTATGCTTGTTGTTATGTATTAAAATTCGACATTAAGTGGGAGTGTTGAAATGAACGTTAAAAAGATACGATCAGTCAGCTGGTATCTGATAATACTAAGGAAATTTTGTGTATTATAACAATCAAAGCTTTAATTCCACACACATTCACGTTCCAGAAGATGAAACAGGTGATTAGTATTCTCTGAGTTTTGATAACCTCTTAGTTAATTTCAATTTAAGATAGACATAGTCTATTCGTGATATTTCTTAAACAAAAGAATAATTGATTACCAAGGAATTCAGATAAGTTCATTACTGATTGAAAGACCAATCCTTATTTTCTTTTACCCATTACGTAAGTCAACCAACTTGAGGATCATTGTCAGCGCAAATTATAACTGAAAATTTCCCACTAAAAATATCTAAGTTTCGACGCTGTGATTCACTGGGTAGGGCCTATTTTCATTTCAGTTACTTTTCCAAGTAGACAATCTAGTTAAGCATTGAATATTTAGACATGTTTCATGTGTTCAGCTGATAGAACAAGTTGAACATGAAATTCTTTAGTCAAATTCGCGATTTTCAAGGTGAAATCTCACCAATTTCCCTATCGGAAACCAAAATTATACAGAGCACAATATGTGATCTGCTCGGTGCTGTGAATAGCCCTTGATGAGCAGACCGATCATCAGGTATTTATTTCACTTCGATCTGTCTAGCAAGTATTACTAGTTGATATGAGTGGTATTAAACTGCTCATATAAATCAATCAGTAATATATGGCGTAAAATTCTCAAAATGAACTATTCTCCCTTAACGAAACAAGTGTCTTGTATTTCAAATAAGCTTTCTCCCATTTTCGCTTGAACATTTAGTGTCACAGGAGGGAAACTTTATTCACTTATATAACGAGAAATAGAAACAAGTAATTTGTTGTTAACATTACATTTCTTTTCATTAATTCATATTAAAATTCTGTTTTAATTACTTTAAAATTAATAATCAAGTAACAAACCAACAGCTCCTGCAATGGGTGGTAAAATTATATCTCCAGAGGAAGGTGGTTGTCCACGTTGCGGTAAACGAGTATATGATGCTGAAAAAGCTATTGGATGCCCAAGCGGAGTAAGTCATCAGTGTAGTTATGCTTCAGGAATTATTACATGAATCTTAATTTTTTAACATGTTTAAAGTAAATGTTTGCATTACTTATAGCAATAATACTAACAATCACTGAGAGATTTGCGCATGTATTTTCTGCTGAATCATTTAACAGTTTTCAACTGAAGATTCCAGAAAATGAAGTAATGTATTTTCAAAACAATTACAGGGCAACCTAAAGAATCGTAACCACTGGGTACAGACGCACCAGTGACCTTGAAGGCATACCATTCATCGGATTACAGAACCTACCGTTATTGCAGCGCAAATATGAACACTGTGCACGATCTGATGTGCAAATTTCATCCTGATCTCGTTTTCAAGTACTGTATGGATAATGGGTTGATAGAACGTTAGGGTTAGGGTTAAAATAAGTATCAGGATTAGGGTGTTTTATTACTATTATCCGTATTTTTCTTGTAAAAAAATAAATGAGAGAGTGTTTCATTGTTCATACAGCTATAAAACTTTGATAGCTATAAAACTTGAGAACTGATACCCTTCATTGTGATTGGGAAGTATTTTTCAGTTATGTCAGGGTGAAATATCTTCTTTAATGTATTTTTTATTATTATTATGTTAATTTCTCTCGTAAATAACTGGCTTTTTGATGTAAAATACACGGTAGGTTCTGTAATCCAACGAATGGTGTGTGTTCAAGGTCATTACTGCGTCGCACTCCGTGGTCGCTATTCTTTATGTTTGCCCAATTACATTTGCCACTCCTTAATGGTGTTTTAACGTTTAAATAATTTACACTTAGGGTGAATAGGTTGACGAAATATGAAGAACTACGTCTAGTGTCAGGCATGCTGTAGCTGAAAATTTTATTTCTGAACTAAAGAAGCTAAGCCTTGTTGAATAAACACATTAGCAGGTATTTATGAAGTGCCATGCCCATAAACTGATAAGAGTGCTCATGTTTTACACTTTTGTCTAGATAATTACCGGCTTTTAGATATCAGTAAGACATCGGTAACAAGAAAAATATTGTGTCGCCTGGTAATCACCGACAAAACTCTATCAATTTACTACATGTTATCGATGAAGGAAATCGGCGATATATTTCCATCTCTTCATAAATATATGTCAACTCAGATTATGGCTTAATTCATGTAAATGTATGTCTTTAACTGAAAGAACAGCAGCAATCATTCTACAGAAGCCTGATTTCATATCCATTCTGCTGGAGAAACAACAGTCAAAAGAGAATAGAACCACATGGTTGGAGGCAATTGGCAGGAAGCCTTGGACCTAGGTTTCGTGCTAGTTGGCACTCGTCAGCAAGGCGTATCTGCAAACGTGACTGATAGAATTCAGTATGCACCAAACATAGGACTAGACACATTACACTAGTTACCGACTAGTTTCCAATCAAAACAGAATAGAATCACCTGCTAAAAATTAGTAAATATCTAATGAGTTTCATGCGAACTCATCGATGGGAAAATATACCTTCTCATAGGCTTCAAATATGATGAGAAGTGAAAGCCTCTCAGTTGTAAGCTGACTTAAAGTCTTCTTTATAATTTCAAGCAATTGTAGATGAAAAAAGCGAAAAAAAATAGAACAGGCGTTAGTAGTACGTGGTATTCGTCAAATACTTCACTCTACTAAGGAAGTTGGTTCAAAAATATTAGTGTGAGTGAAATGGTCCCTCTCCAGGATGGAAATTTAAGAGCTTATCAGGAGAGATGGTCGGAAAGTTGTGCAAAACACTGAGGAGCAGTTCTTCCGACCTACATTTGAACTACAGTCGCTCATAATTTAAGCTTAGGCTAGATAAGCCATAGAGATCGGTCCTACAACCATAGCCGAGATTGTTTCAAGTTTCTCACATCTGCCATGAGACGAAGCAACAGGACCTGACAGTATTACTCCGTAGTTCTTTAAAGGTAGTGGGGATGAATTGCTGTGGTAATCACTGGATGATCATCTTGACTAATGTAGCATCTCGGATCCTACGCTTCATTGTCCTCAGACTGGAAAAAAACAAACATAATTGCAGGTAGCTTTCAAGCCAGGACGAAGGTGTCTTGATCAAACTTTCACTCTTTAACGGGTTGCATAACACAAGTATACTTACTGGCATCCGATACTTGTCATCTTTCTGTACTTTGAAGTAGTGTTTCACCCCGTCGACCTAGAGATACCGCGGTAATGTTTGACTATGAAGTGAATGCCTAAAAGTACATTATGCTAATCAAGATGTTCCACTAGAAATCATTTAGTCGTGTAAAAGCCTATAGAGAGTTTTGTTTGAAGTCACGGCATTGATTAGTGTTCATCTGTGATATTCACTGTCATCCTTTTTACTCAACTTTATTATAGATGTATTGATAGAAGTGGCCTTTTGTCAACGTCAGTGTCATAGAAGTTAAACAGGAACATGTCTGGATATAACTGGTGGACGATGACTAGCAGTGGAATCCAGCATGTGCATTTTTTCCTATTTGGGACTAAATACTTATCCTGCATTCCACTGATAGTCACCGTCGACCAATTAAATTCTAATTAAATGCCCTGACATCGTCGAAGCATCTGCATAAAAAGCCGACATGTTAACCTGCTAACAAAACATGTCTGGATGATTTAGAATTTATTTAGGTGAAGATGCTGACAAAATTCAGAGTCTCTCAACCACTTTCAACAAAACCCGAGTATCTGTTGGTTGCAGAGCAAGCTTTTAAAACTTAGGATAATGCTACAAGACTTATCTGCACCAACTCCTAGTTTATAGATAGGAAGTAGAAATGTTGAACGTGCAAACTTATTTACTTATTTAGTGAGCCGCATCAGCTATAATTTACTGGTTTCTGATGAAATCTCAGCAGGGATGCAATAAACTCTTTTAGCATTTGGTATTATGTGAATAGAATAAGTTTACTGATGAAGTTGAGCGTTTATACAGGTCGAGGCGACTAGGGTATGTGTTACATATGCCAAAGCAAGATGAAGTAGCAACACAGTTTGGAAAACTGTAAGAGGTTGTCACATCAAAACATGATATCAATAGAAAAAGTCACTCACTGTTGACTTTGAGCTCTATAGACTAGCATGGTCTGCCTAGATAAGGTCCTTGAAATGCTAAGAACAAACAGTTAGAGATTAATTACGATATCTTTCCAAATCGCTTACAATAATTCGAATATATTTCATATTTTTTCTCTTAGAAATATTTAAAGTTTTCACTAATCTGCATTCAATTATTTGCTTTGCCACAACTATTTTTGATTATTGCAGTACTATTTTATTTTCTTACAATTTTGATAAATTATATCATCTGTTTTGTTCAACCTATCTGTCTCTTTTATAACCAGCTCAATTTCCATAAAGCATGTTTCCGATGCAAAACTTGTGGAAAATCACTTGATTCAACCAATTTATGTACACAAAAAGAAGAAAAGGAAGTTTACTGCAAAGGTAATAATTTCAAAGAATCTTAATGATATTTAAATCTTATATAATTGATATGGTTTCGTCGTTTTTACTGTCAACTTTCGTTCACTAGGTATCAAATATGATAGTTAGCATATACATGACAAGTACTCTGCTTAAATAAACTCCGGAAGCATTAGGACTTACTTAAATAGCCTCAATATGAATTATTCCATTCCTAAAACTCTAGTTAAAAGATTTCATTACGAACCACTTTAGAGTGATTTGGTTAATTTTTGCGTCTATATGCATTCGAAATACATTTCGGCGAGATTTGTAGAGTGTAAATTTGTGCATCACTGCGAAATACACTAATTTACTAAGTTATTTGCACAAAATCCTTCCTAATAGATCAGATGCAATGATTTCTTGTAATCTTCAAGAATGATTGCCAGCTATGTGCGAGATTCGGGTTAGATTCCCTGACTACACCTTCCTAGACCTAGTATAGCTGTTAGTAAGTCCAGAAACGACAGAGGGGTAAGACTAACAATCTCACCCCACAAAAAAACACCACTGCCACTGGAATTTCAAAGCCTGATGCCTTGTGTCCCACTCAGAAAACGAAGGAATGCAAAATAAGTCTTCCAGATTCTGGAAACCTTCATTATTCGGCAACTAATTATTCTTCTCTCTGTAAATTTTCGTCAGTGGTAGTTACTTTCCTCTACCTTTGCGTATCTTTCTGAAGTGTGGCTATTTCAACTGATACCCTTTTGTACAGAGGTGTACGTCAATAATTCAGTTTGGTTCAGTATCCCTCCATCTTATAATGGTTTGAGTTGGGCTGTAAACTATCATCTGATTAAAGATCGGTTTTGTCCCACCATCTCCATTTTATTTATTCCTTACCAGTCAATTATGATAAAATATAATCTAAACCTAGCGAAGATTACACAACATCTCTTTCCTTAAAACAGAAATCCTATTCATTTAAATCTCAACTAAGGCTTCCACTGTTTGGTTTGAAATAATTGACAATGATTTGGGGAAATACTCCTTTTGGCACATATGGAAAAAGGTGAACTTTAAAGCACCTACATAGAATTCAGTTGATGTCATTTATACTTGCTGTCAAAGGTCTTATTATGACTATCTTTAGTCTACATTGACTGACTGATATACTTGAATATTCTTGTATGAGACTAAATATGAATAAAAGACTTCAGTGTCTTTCGTCTTGTTGTGAAAGTCTGTGGGATTAATACAGTTATCCTCAGGACTAAAAGTTACATTAAGGTGGCCACAACAGCACATATCCATTAAACCCCTTTCTCTGCAGTCCTCTGTAGTTGTCTCCGCTATTGTCCATAATATCTCATCTTTTCCTGACACGGTCTTCTCTATATCATCCTCGGACTCCCAAGTCATCGTTTCCCTTTCGGGTTCCACCCTAGGACCTGTCTGGCGTGCCATGTCACCCAAAGGTTTCTTTATTTCCTTCGACATATTTGTTGAGCAGTAAGTTCTTGATTGGTTGGTTCCAAGAGCTTCTTTTTGATAATCCTTTCTCGTCGGCCATCCAATCTTCACTATGGAGACAGCGAAGGCAATTGTTGATAAAAATCTGCGGTAGCCTATAAGAAATGCATTTCATGATGCGCCAAGTTTCTGACACATTTGGAAGAATTGAATGACTTGTGTCAAATCCATCCCCACCGTTGAGTGACATCACGAGCAAGGGAGATCTTCGAGAGGAGCCCAAATGAAAAACGACGAGTTGTCCATGGGTGTGAAGGTGACATGGAGAGGATAGTGTGATCAGGAAATGTAAGCTTTTTGGCAATCGTAGAAACAGCTAGAGAAGACTGAAGAGAACAAAGTTGATTGTCTGCAGTCGTTTTGCAATATAACACAGATTAAGGTACCTATAAAATGTTCATAATTCATTGTTCAATGAGTTTAAGACATTTGATATTGTAAAAATGCACTTTGAATATTTCTATTGCATTTACTTACCTTTTCAGCCTGTTATGGAAAGAGTTTTGGACCAAAAGGTTTTGGTTTCGGTCAAGGTGCTGGTACATTAAATATGGGTTAATAACCTTATTATTATTCTTATAATTATCAATATTATTAATCCTGGTACTGTTACTATTATTAACAATAAAGCTAATAAAGATGTGCAATTTATCATTTTCTTCAGTTTCACAACTTTTTATTGTTTATTTTCCATCCCTTCACTTTATTATCATTTTGAATTCAATTCATTTTAGTTGATATTAGCGAGATGAAATGCACACACCCACGCACGCACGCACTCACTCTCTTACACACACACACACTCACACTTCTACAAACCAATACAATTTATTTATGCTTATCAATGTAAGATTTCTTACAGAAATAAACAAGAAATACAACAAAGATTTTAAAAATATCACAGATCTTTATAAATCATTATTGTATTTGCTTTCTTCCTAGCTGTATTAAAAATATACTACATCATAATCATTCAGTGATTGAATTTTACGTTGCTGTTGATTATGCAAGCAGTTCATACTTATCTTCATATGATTTTATCTTGCTTTTTTATTAAATATACCTGTGTCAAGGTTATTAGCTTCTTATTTTGAATTTTCCGCTCGAAAAGATCTAATATATTTAGTACACTTAAAGACTTAAACAACCATTAGTCAATTTCAAGTGATTGATTGACTATTGATCTTCGTAAGTAGACTAATCAGAGTTGTAATATACAAATGAACATAACATAAAGAGATTTCAGTGCAGATTACGTGTAACATATTATTTAAGTAGTTGGAATTAACAGAATCCATGAATAGAAAAAGAAGCGACCACAGCAGGTTGCTGAAATTAAAATTATGTCAAGCTATTCATATCCTGTAGATGTAAAAATTGAAAAGAAACGTTTAGTTTTGCTATACTCTGTTGGAAATAACAGCTTACATGATAATGTAAAATTCATAATGCGCAATCGTAATAGGAAACTTATTTCATATTCATGAAGATGTCGATTAGCAGACACCTTGCGAGACTATTCAGATACATTAGAGTAATTACCTTCAAAACTTTTGTTACACTTTCTTCACGTTCTGAGTAAAACATAGAGCTTCAAACTTTTGTAGTTTCAGAAGTGTTGGTGTTGTTTTGACAGGGGGTGAGATTGCTAGCTGCATGCCCAGTATTCCATCTTTCCAAGGCTTACTACTGATTATTGGAGTAAGCGACGTTTAGGAGTGCGTTAGCCTGAAATTGAATCCCTGACCACGCATTTTGTGGGTGGCGAGCACTCTGCCACTGAGCTACCAACGCATGTCCACTGTCCAAACACTAGTTAACTTATAATCCTACATATTTTGAGTGACTTAACAACATGAATTACACCATTGGATTATTCCTGTTATCCTTCTTCAGTTAAATATTAATTTGTGGATTTGTGAAGAAGACCAGTTACAGCTATGATGCAGTCTGAAGAGGCCTAACAAAATGAGGTAGAACTATTTCTGGTGTTAAAAAATCACAGATCTTATGAATGAGTAAATTCACATTTTATAGCATAAATAATTGGTTTGCATCGATATAACTGAAGGGAGTTAGTATACAATAGTTAGAATTAAGACAAAGTTAATACGTAAATGAGAATATATATATTACAAATTAATTATATGTTTCTGTATTATTTAAGTACTGCTTTAGTCTAAGATTAGACAGCTCTATACACAGGGATATAAATGTACAAGAAATAATTTACGGAATATTAAAAAGATGTTTAAATTTCTCATGACAAATGCTCTAGCAGATGACAATAAATCTTTCATACCAATGAATGGTTTCTGATGCATATTCTGTGCTGTGAGTGATATCAATCACCAGGCCGTCAAATGGAACCGAAATGGGAAGTGGAGGAAATGAAAGCATATAAGCAGTTTTACAGTTCGCTTAAATGGATTCTGGAGAGCAGACTGAAATGGGGTGTGTGCTGCTGAAGCCCAAATGTTCCACTAGGAAACCACTTTCATTGTTACTGCCTTTAATACAAATGTGCTAATGAGACGTTTATGATGTCCTACTGTAGACCTTATTTTTGTGCTAAAGTTGTATTTCATGTTGTATACAACATTCGCCAGTTATAGTAATTAAATATCCCGTTACGAATTTTTTACTGATGAATGGCATTAGTGTCCAAAATATCTAGAATGGTGTTAAATTAGCTTTCGATTCTGATTGGAAACTTTATTCAGAGATTTTAAGACAGCTTATCTTAAGGTGTGTGTTCTGATTAGGATTCGTATCTGTCTACACTTGTGCTTGCAACGGTAAATTAAAATTGGTTAATGCGTTTTATCAATGTCATTATAAATAACTACTACTTGGGTGATATCCAGTATAATATGTATGAACCCCAATGTAACAACCAAAGCCAAGTTGTTGTAGTCTGAACTCAGGAAACTTATCTTTGCGTTCTGCTCTATAGTTGACAAAACTTCCTTGAGATACGCACAGCCACAAGATGCTCCAAAGACGATTATTCGTTGCTGGAATCTTTGTGTGGCTCTATTTCACAATTATAACATTTGTAAAAACTCAAAACTACCTCAGCAGTTTCATTGGGTAGCCATACAGACAAGGTAACTGTCTAAGTAGAAAACAAGTATTGTAAAATTAATTAACCAGAAATTCAACAAGTACCTTAAGAATATTTCCAAAAAGATGGGATCAAAACTCTCTTCTAGGTTAGAATGACTTTCATTCACTCAAACAAAATCCCATCACAGGATAACACATTATCAACTTTTTGCACAACCAGAAAGAGAAACATAAAAATTAGAGATTAAACTGTGATAGAGACAAATAATAAGAATTAAGTCAACTTATGACGCACCAATGTCACAGCAATGATATACAGACTAGGAGGAAGAAACGGATAATAATTACATAGTGGAAACGTTCTAAATAAGTATCATTATTGTAGTTAAGTCGTTCAGAATGGATTTTCCGAACAATCATTCCATTACACCTACTTTACGCGTACATATATTACAATTTTATTGTGGCCATACAAATAAACAAAAATATTAGTTTCGATATCAGTTCAAACAAGTGATTGCATCCAAAAAATCAAGGATTGGCATGAATTAGCTAATTAACAAAATATCATGATTGGTTACAGGATTTCATCATGAGCTGACATCGGCTACAGAACCATTGGAAAACCTAAGAGTACTGGACAGCTTTTTCGTCCTAGTTTGCTACTCTTCATTAGAACGCACCCACCGGGTTTCGGACTCAGGACCTACTGGCTACAAGGAGAGCTCGTAGACCATTGTTCTCTAACCAATGTCAGCTCATGATGAAACCCTGTAACCCATCAATCAAATCCCTACAAACCAATACTTGAATATTAATGAGATGCTCACTAGCGACTGGCCCTACCCAAGCAGGTAGTTACCTGGGGTTCTAGTAGGAAATCATGACCAGTAGGGTGCAGCAGGTCAAGTGTGAGGACAAATACTCATCGATGACATCGGCTAGTGGTCGTGCTATGTCGTGAATTGGCAGAAGTTGGAAATCATGGGCTGACCATTGGATCGGGTCCCAGTGGCTTAATGATCTACGAGCTATCTCGCCTTGTAACCAGAAGGTCCTGGGTTCGAACTGTGGTGGTGGATGCATATCGATGAGGAGTCTCAAACTAGGACGAAACAGCTTTCCAGTACTCCCAGCTGGTTTTCCAGTGGTTCTCTAATTGTTGTCAGCTCATGATGAAATCCTGTAACCAATCAGTCAAATCCCTACAAACCCATACTTGAAAATATCATGACGAAAAGCGAAGAACTGTAACTGGTGTGAATTTCATAACTGAATGTGTAGTCTTGAACATTGCTGGTTTACACAAATGAAGAAATATGTGTAACTCGTTTCAAAGATGATTTCCTATTGGATAATAGGAAATCCTGGTTAAATTTTTTTCCAACAGAAGGATAAAAATACATATTTTCCACTGATGAACAACTAAGCAACCGTTGGAAAAGATGCGGATAATGTGACTTTGTAACCGAATTAATAACACTCTGTAAATCAAGATTGGAGTTTCAGTGGGAGCAGTAACAGAGCAGGATGTGAGTCAAAAGCCCGCGCTACATTTCGCCTCAAGTCACTTAAAAATATACAGTATGTAAGCTGAATAGTTTTACTACTGATAATTAATAATTTTTTGACTAGACCTTTATTCAGTAAAAGGAGGTACTTTAAACTTAAAGAATTTTCCCCATGACTTACTACTGTATATGATTATTTCAAAGACAGGCAGTAAATTATACTTTTTAGTCCTAAAATAAATGATTAAATCTACAAGGGCATGTCGCATATGTATGTCTCAGCAAATTCTGGATTAAAGAAGCAAGAGAGGTATCCACCAATCTGCGTAATTTGCGATGTCGGCGTGGATTATATCCTATCTTCGCTTGATTTATGAGACCACAACTTTGAGAACTGAAGATGAGTGTTAGTAAACATCAAAAAATTCCAGAAAATTAAAAATCCAGTTATATTTATCTAACATTACAGCCAGAAATAACTACTGTGACTGGTTCCTTCGAATTTTTACTCAGTAGGAATCTAAAAATCAACATAAATTTCCGTACTGTTAATTATCGATCAGAATGTAAAACATTCTGGTTAAGTTTCTCATTATTCTAGTCTTTCTCAAATTTATTTATTTTCAGTGACTTAGATCAGTTGTAACAATTGTTCAGTATTATATCTACTACCACTATTTCGAGATGTATCCAGTTAGTCAGGTAAGAATATTATTATTCCTTTTGTTCAGAATGGAACATTGGGGTTCAACATCACACTTCCATTTTCTCCTGTCATCTGCAGTCATTTTCATCTCATCTCCTCCTCACACGTTCTCTTTCTCAGACAAACGTCCGACTCTTCGTTTCACATTCGGGTTCCGCGTTGGGTTGGCCTGGTTTGCGACCTCATCCTATAATCTCCACAGCGTGTGCAGATCCATCTCAATTTCTTCCTGCATATTTGTTGAGCAATAAGTTCTTGGTTAGTTCGTTCCCGCAGTTTATTGTTGTCAATTCTTTCAGGCTTATCATCTGATCTTCAGCATGGAGCGAAGACAGCTGTTGATAATAGTCAATAGTAACCTGTTCAAAATGCTTTTCGTGACGCCCACGCCAAGTTTCTCACCTATACACAAGAACTGACTTAACACTGGTATTGAAAATCTGAACTTTCTTTGCTATTCTGAGCTCAGAACACTTTCATAGTGATTTTAGAGTGATGAAGGTGTACCTTGCTTTTCCTATTCCGGTTCTGACATCCCCATCTGTATAGTTGGCTGTAGTTGAAACGAGGCTGTCTAGATAGGTGAAGGAAGTGACTTTTGTCAAATCTCCGTGCCGTTAGTGGTGATTGGTCCTCGTTTTTGTTGTTTGGTTATCTTCGTCACCTCCATCTTCTCTATGTTCACTTGAAGTCGTGTCTCTGCTGCTTCACCCACCAACTTGTTGGTTTTCACCTGTAAGTCTTGGAAATTTTGTGACATTAGACATAAATCATGCTGGAAATCCGGATTT